AAAAAATTTTTTTTTTTTTTTTTTTTTTTTTTTTTTTTTTTTTTTTATGAAACAGTCCTATCTTTTCGAGCTTTCATTCGATGTGGTTTTTTTTTTTTTTAATCAATGATCCAAGAGTTTGTCGGTGATGAATCGTCACCTATCCTAAATTACAAAATTACGTAAAATACGCCGCTTGTTATTAACACGAACTGTAACACCATAATAAACTTTTTCACCGCCAACAAAACTCTCCAATATATTCATGAAAGAACAAAAAATTTCCCTTTACGTAAATCGGCACTAGTATTTGAAGAAAAAAAAAAAAGTCAAGAAAAACATCAGCTTCGGATGATAGAGCAATCGCCTCTTCTTCTCGCGCGAACGCGTGACAGCAAAAAATATTAAACCCTCCTAATTATGCCACTTAATTTTTTTTCCCAACGCGTACGCTCGTTTTAGATAACCCCGCGGATTATTTCCAGCGTATCAGTGCGCTACTCGTTCTATATACGTCACTTTTTCAAGAGAAGAGATTTCGACCAGCAGCAGCGCACGTTCATTTGCGAGAACAATTTTATCTCAACAAAAAAAACCTCCATAAAAGACGCATACCTTTATTAGCTACTAAAAAAAAAAAAGCTCACAATATCCATCGAAATATAGGTAAATGGTTAAAGTATACATAACGCATGGGTGTAGGGGGCGACTAAAATAACAGTGGCAGCACGCGTGCCATAATAGAAGTGGATCATAGCACCGCAACCCAAGTACACACAATATTGGGGACGGCATGTATATTATACTCACCGATTCTCCCATTATATCCATTACATCAGCCCGAGTATCGAAGGTCCGTAGGTATATAGAAGAAAAAATAATACTCACCATCATCCAGAGGCATGATCTAAAGTAAAAAATAAAATATATATATATACATAAGCATACACCCGAGTGCTGTGCAAAATAATTGTTTATCGAACTATATAAAGGTATCCGTATGGAGCACCGGGGCAAATTGAATGGCTTTCGAACGACCCGGCGTAAGTGAAATTGAACCGAGAACCGCGCCATCGATTAAGTTCAAATCACCAGCCCAGACGTTCCTACCCAGCTTGTAGAATGGAGAGAAAAAAAGGGTGGGTCGGGGGGGGGGGCAGCGCATGATAAATATAAACTATACTTTTCAGTGTCCTGCAGATATACACCCCCATTGTTGCGTCCTTTGTCCGCTACGCCCCTTCGCTATGTACAACATATAGACACACATATGCAGCTTAATGTCCGAAATCACGCAGTTTCCGACAGTACAACACACGGTGGCCATCGCTACATCGCCTGGAAATTGCATTTTGCGGGGGCGCACGAGAATCCGGCCATTGTGTCCCGTGGTCGGTACATGCGTGTATATATATATATATATATATACGTATAGGCTACAAGGGGCGTAAAGGACATCACAGTTGTACCTATATACTTGTTTAACGCAGTGTGTGTAGGGATTGCGCTCGGGAATCGAAAGCAAATGACGCTCGACGACCACTGCGGATGTACCTATTGTATATACTCGTGTGCAAATGGATTTGATTGAATCTGGGAAATTAATGTGCGCGGCGGTGAGTGTATACTTATGTGAGTGGTTGCTGCGATGAAATTGTGCGGTACGTATATTATATGGGATACGCTGCACTATCGTAATGCCTAGATTTTGGCAATGTTGTTTGAGAATTTGGGATCGAATATAGTCGCTGGACTACGTGAAATGGGTGAATATGATGTAGGTAGGGGTATTTGGAAATGTTGAATCTTCGAGTTTGATGCAGTGAAACCTTTTTTTTTTTTTTTTTCTTTTTCAATGTCTTTTCGTGCGTCAACGCGCAGTCTGTGCTGTTGTTTTGCTCTCGAGCGCCTTGATAAGCTGGGCCCAATGTAACAGCCTAAAATGTTGCATCATTAGACTGTGTCTGCGTGTGTCATTTCCCAACACGAGGCTCTCCACTATCAATCGTTAC